ACTTTTCTATTTCTTTAACACTATAACTTCATTATATAACTTTCTTTTCACACATTTGTAAGACTCTCCCTAAAGCAAACTTCAATTTTCTTTTCTAAGTAAACTTTACAGTCACTTAACCTTTTTTACAAGTACACTATTAAAACCATCTCAGCTGGGTAAACGTTAAATCAAATCAGCTGTGTGTGCACATAACTTGGCACCGTGTGTGTTGGCTGAACATCAGGCTCCTTACAGTAACACGCTGCAGACTTGTGTGCTGTTTTAATAAGGTGGTTTCCTTTCTCTTCAAAAGTTCAATTTCTAGGTTAATGTACTTGGTTTTAACTTAATAAAAGTTATACGCTGCTGAACTTGATCCCAGTAGGATAAGGGAAGTGTGGTGTGAATAGACCAGTGTAATCAATAATTCTTACTTTAAAAATCATAGTGTGTGGAATTATACATACATAATGTGGTGTAATAAATCAATAATGTGGAACATCTGCTTAAATCTGGGCACTAGTCATTACAATATTAGTGAGTTAACTGAATTCAAGTCTGAAGCAAGTTACCACTTCTGGCTGTATTAATACCCCCAATTTCTGTTAAGATTGTCCTTAAGTTAAACATGCACCACGAGCTGTTTTTAAAGTATCACCTAAGCAAAGTCTAATACTTTTTCTTTTTGCAAATTATATATTACTAGTGTAATATCTAGTAACAATAACTAAAAGTAAAACCGTTACCAGTACTTACTAATAGTAGTAGGACTAACTTTTTAAGTATTGTCTAGCAGTAGCATTATAAATTTAAGATTATTGTATGACCCTAAACTAATGAAGTCGCAAATTTATAGTATAACTATAATCATAAACTTAATTTAAGATATTAAATGTTAAAGAAAATATATAACTAATAGCAAGATTTATCAATAATTCAATCATAATTTACTCGTGTCACAGTAACAATTAACATAGTAATAGTAATAATGCAACCTTTGTTCGCTAAATATCTTTGGGGTCAAGATATTGCACAACCAAAACCTTTGCTCTAATAGCAAGTGCAAACAATTTCAAACTTTTAACTTATGTTAACCTATTATTATTGTTTATGGTTAGTATTTAAATACGGCCATAGACACACCGGTTTTGATTACGTACTACAGAGACCTCACACAGACTTGAATATTTTAAGTTTCGACTAAATTCTCAGGCAGGACATAATAATAATCATATGCTTCATCTACATAATAAACATAAACTAATTCTTTCTAAAAATCCAAAAAATAACACTGCCTAACATTGTAAGTTAAAAGATAACCACGTATAATGAGTGCACGAAATTGCAAATATTTAATATAAAGATTTTTTTTTATTGCGCGCGAAATACGCGTATTCACCATACGCATACTGGTGTGTGATTCCTGAATAACATTCTATCTTACCGTAAGATATAATCCAAAAGCAAAAACTAGATTTGATGAAGGCTGTATAAATGAAAATTTGATTCAAATACTAAAACTCTTACGTTTATAACTTCCGATCGAAACTCAAAATCAACCGGGCCATCAGTATAGTTAATTAATCAAATACACTTTTCTTACGCATCTAAGGGTTAGAATACATTTCATTACAGATCTCTTCTCACAACAGGTAAAATTAAAATATAATTGAGACGTACGGGCCTAACGCATTCTTTGATTCGCTGCAACATCAGCCGTGAACTGCAGTTTTCGATCAGTGTGTGCGTGTGTTTTTATAGCAAAGCCACATTTGGCTATCTGCTGTGTCCACCGAGGGAAATAAAACTCCTGATTTTAACACTGTAAATCCCTAGACTTACCGCTGTCCCATAGTAAGGCCTCTATAATGGTGATATGTATATAATAGATATAAGAAGCCTTTCTGTGTTTATTTGACTTGCTGATCAAAGGTGTGCTATTGAGTCTTGAATATGGAAAACTTTGGTGAAAATAAAATAAATCTGTAATATAATCATAAAACAGTTGGTCTACTGTATAATATCGAATAATGAATTAGGCGCAATGCCACAGTCTTATTTACACAGCTAAATTAACTTAGATTACGATATGATGAGTCAAAAAAAGGGGACTCAAAGATCATATAAATATTAGAATGTACTGTTTCATCAATTGGGTACTCTCGCTACTAACGATAATTTTTGGCCGTAATCCCGGTGATACTCACGAGGTTTGTCCAGCTAAGGAAATTTGGGTTAATCCTAAACACAAATTCTGAGCTAACAATATAAAGCATTCTTTAAAATAAAAGTGTTATAATAAACATTAAATAAATATAAAAATATATGTCATTCAATATACTAACTAGTATAACCAATACTTATTGGAAGTAACAATAAATAAATAATATAGTACACTTGGAAATAGCAATGCAACAACCAGACCTCAATTTCATTGCAGTCAAATCAATAATTAAATAGATTCTCATAGAATTTATTTTTCCCTTCCCAATCGAAGATCGCAATCTGCGAGTCGTAGGTTCGAATCTCCGTCCCACCAAACATGCTCGTCCTTTCAGCCGTGGGGGAGCTATAATGTGACGGTCAATCCCACTATTCGTTGGTAG